ATTTAGTTGAAAGGAGAAGGATGTATATACTCAAAAAAAAAAAACAAAAAGAAGAAGAAGAATCTCATCTCAGAGTGTAAAAGACCTGTGAAAATTGCAATAAGGAAGACATAAGTTAAAAGTTAACATTTTTTTTTATTTTTAGAATAAAAAAAAAATTAATGCAAAGAGAAAGGTTAAAAAGCCGCACTATTACTCTACGGTTGTTTACAAATCCCAAACTACGAATGCTCCTGTTTTATTTTTTTTAAGGAGGAAAACTGCATTTCGAACATCGTCATTTTTATGGGCAAAGAAATGTACCAAAAGGCCAGAAAGAAGATCTCCAAGTGTCCAAATTTGCAGCTTAACTTCTATCTCTGGGCTTCTTTTTTTCTTTTTTTTTTTTTCTTTTCTTCTCCTTTTATAATTTAACTGGTATTCCTGGGACAAGTATTATCTTTTCTCCAGGTGTCTTGCCGAGTAGTTTTAGCTTGTTGGATCATATGGCAGTTGTATTTTGTGATTGAGAATAGTTTAATAACCCTTTCTCAGAGTCTAATAATCTTTGAAGATTCAATGCCCTTTTTTTTTTTTTTTTTGTTTTTTGGGACAAAACAGAAAGAAAATGTTAATAAATAGAAATTTAATACAGCCTCTCAAAGCTGAAACAAGATTTTATGCTAATTTCTGTGCCTAAAACAGTGGTGTGCAGATTCGACTTCTTTCATTGGGTAAGTAAGTAGTCTTGAGAGAGAATCTGCTGTCGTACTAATCCGAAAGGCATAATAATTTGCTGGTTTGAACTATATCACTAATTTCTATATTACTACTATTCGGCTGCATCTTGTTCTTATTCTTTCAAACATTCTTTTGAACTACTATTAAGCACTCTCGTTGCAGGTCAAAATATTCTTTTAAACTACTATTAAGCTAGTAGTTCTCTTGTCAAGGGAAAGCTAAGTTGAGAAGAACCTAAATATTCTTGTAAACTACTATTAAGTTAGTTCTCTTGTCAGGGGAAGCTAAAGCGATATCAACTTTAACTGCGAACGAGAAGAATCTAACTATGGACATCTCTCTAATTTACAATTTGCCGGTCTAATTGCTCTCTATGTCAACGAGATTGATTGGTGATTGGGTGTGCCAAAACAATCCCAACATTCTCAAACACCCACCCAAAAGGAAAATATATTTCCCAATGATAAGAAAAATATTGAGCGTGAAAAATCATCAGAACAAGTCTCGATTAATTTGACATCCCAATATTTAGAAGCATAAGTATTCACACCAGTCTCAATATTAAAAACAAACAACTGCTACTACTGCTACAATCAATTTAGTGCGCATTGCCTAATTGAATATTGAGCAGAGGAGGCTTTGGACCACGTATTTTACTTGTCCAAGAAATTGCAACGTTTTGGTAAAAAGTTCAAATACAATATTTAGGGCGACTTTATCAGCGGAGTTGGGAATGAGATGGCAAATTGATCGTTTTTCTTCTCTTTCAAAAAGCAACCAGGACTTCAAGTGTTTGTTGGATTCTTTCGTTGGACTATAAATCTTGCAGTTTTGAGCATAAAGCTTTTCTTCGCCATTTGATTATACGGATGCCATCGCTTGGGCATGCGGAATAGTCGCTTGCTAGAGCACTGCGTTCAAGATTTAGAAAAGTTTTATTAATAATATGTCAAACGGAAACTAAGAAAAATATATTTGAAATAAGAGAAAAAAGAAATTAGGAGGGGATATGGGGGTTCTAATTCTTCATGCTCTAGTTGTAGGGGTGTCAACAGGTCGGATTCGGGTTGGAATTGAAAATTTTCGGATCCGAATCCGTTTTTATGTAGTTGATCCGAAAACTCCACTTCTTTCTTTGAATCCTTTACTCCTCCTCCTCCTCCTCCTCCTCCTCCTCCTATAGAAAAGGGTAACTTGGCCCCATGCCAATGAATTCCATTTGGGTATCTCTTTTTTCTATCTTAAACGATAGATGATTGAGGAATGAAATTGAAAATTGTTGCAAAATTAATTTTCTCCAACTAGGTGACCCACCAGTCTAGCTATTGGAATCCCTTGTCATTCCTTTTTTTTTTTGGAACCAATCCTTTGTCATTCTTGAGTCACCATTGCGTATAGTTTTTACAAGTAAATTATGATGTAGCAGTTAAGGCATCAAGGATTAGGATTTGGGCAAGACTCGACAGGCATGTTGCATCTTCTATTTGCCCTCTGTCGCCTTCTTAATTTTCTAAATTCATCATTTATCAATGGAATTTATCCCTCACATTCATCACTTTGATTTTTTCCCCCTCGTTTTAAGGATCGACCATTGATCTTTTTCATTGGATAAAAGAGAATAGCTGCGATTCAATGTAAACAAAATATATAATCCTGCTGGTCCTGAAGTGATTCACAACATATCTCCCATTTACATGTTGGATTAATTTTTTACATGCTGTCAGTGTAGAATTTTTTTTTTTTTTACTCTGATGGATGTGAATTTATGCACATGTACAAACAGTAAATTTTAAATCTGAAATCTAAATTTAGATTAAGTGACGTGCATATGTAAGTAAGTCTGCTAGTATAACAAAATAATAATGTATAAAAAATTAACCCTATACTCTTGCATAAAAAGTTTTACAATATTGATGACGAAAATGATTCAAACCCTGTCACAACTTCAATCAAAACAATATCATTAATCGGGAAAAAGATAGTTTATCATCTACTCTTGATCAGAAAATTTCTTGGCCATGGCTTTATAGATACCTAGAATGATTGGTACTCCGGTCCTCTGCCACGAGGTGAGTCCAAAACATGCAGCCCCACTCGTGGACTCCATCAAGAAGGAAGGGCGTGCTGGTCGCCAAAAAAAAAAAAGGATCAGCACAGAAGGTCAAATTTGTTGGAAATTTTGAAATCGGCTTTCGATATCAGGTTGTTGAGATCTATTGACTTTCTAGCCTCATAATAGGTAAATAAATATATACTACCAGCAAGCAGAAAACAAATTTTTTTTGGCTCCTATGGCTGGTGACCGGACTTTCACCCATCGCACCCAATCTGAATTAGGATGGATCGGTGCTGTTATTTCATTATTGGGGGAGCCGTCAAATGTAAGAGGGTCGCTGTTATTTATTTATGCGTGTAATTTGTCATTAATGGTCCTATGGATCATCAATGAGATTTACATGGTAGTTTCAATTATTTGTGACTAGGTCTCGACTGTCTTGTTCTTTTACTTTTATTGAGAATTAAATTCAACATGATCTAATCGTCTAATGCGATTTGGTATTTGACGAGGTTAAATCAAATGTCGTACACTTATGTATGGTTGTGAATTGAAAAGATAGAGTGGGTGATAACAATTACATTTTAGACTCGATAATTGTCAAACATAATGCTAACTCAAGATGATGTCACACATAATAGTTCAAGATGATGCTTGTTTGTAAATTCTACTGCATGTCCAAAAACTCAGGGGGTGTTTGGTAAGTGGATTTTTTTTGTATTATACGAGAGAGTGGATTTTCAATTAATTATAGTGATGCTTATAATTTAGTTATGGCTGATCGGGATATAAGTTCATCGGTCTCTGGATTTTATGATTAGCCACTTCTTAGTGAGGAATTAATGTTTATATGTCCGTGAATTTACAATTTTAATTTTTAAAAAAAAAAACTAAAAAGGATTAGAAGAAAAAGATGACTGCTAGAAAAACATGTAAGAAAAATGACGAGGAAATGGAACAAAAATGTAAAACTGAAACCTACATTTTAGTTACCAAACACTTTATAGGTTTTAGCAAAACCTCAGTATTATTAACTAGTTAATCATAGTGATACTGATTGTAATTCATGATTTTTTTTTTTTATCAAATAACTCCTTAATTCAACTGTAGAGATATTAATTAGACAACAATGAGGTTTTTGATTTGTTTATCAATCCCTCTCCTTTACCTATTCTCCTGGTAAAGATTGGAATCTCCATTAAACCAAAAAAAATATATGTATATATATTACAAAATACATTTTCATCAAAAAAAAATTCATTTATTGAATGTAAAACTGAAAGGGAAACAGGAAAAATCTATTAACCGATGTGGCCGGAAGCCCAAATCCAGTAAGCTGCAAGTCCATAATCTGTCCACCGATGCGGCCCTTAGATGCGTGGACTTGGGAGAAAGAGAGAAGAGATCGAAGGAAAAAGTCATTCTAATTCTTCTCTTTAGACCGCACCGATCCGCATTCCCGAAGCCCACAAGACATTTCAAGGAGCGCACCCTGCCCCATTCTCCTTTCTTCTTTGGGATCTCCCTGCCTTGAGCCCAATGCACAACGTGCTCTTCTTTTGGGAGGTGGAAGCTTTTATAGAACAGGAAAAAAAACTAACAAGGTACATATTCCAATCAGGGCGTGGGCGTTTCTTTCTAGTATTTTTGTTCTTCTTTGTTTCTTTCCCCGCCCCCCCGCCCTCCCCTCTTTTGGCCTTTCACTGAAACCAGTTTCTGCTGAATTTGGGCATCATGTTCTTGAGTGGAGAATAGACCATAGATGCTTTCCTTCGTGTTATTTTTCTGTTTTTTGTTCAGAGTTCACTGTGTTTTGCTTTCTCAAAACTAGTTTTGGTGGATACAAGTATGAGGTTTCTACTACCTCTACTGTAGAGCTTTCAATAGTTGCTCAATGCTAAAAAAAGGATCTTGGCAAATGATTCTCTCTTTTGCCCCTAATTGAGTTTTGTGTTGTTCTTGAACTATTTATGCATCAGCGCTTTCAGCTTTGGCGCTGCGGTAAGAATTATAGATCAAATGACATCCCTAATTAGTTGATTGGCACAACGCGCATTTTGTCTCCCAAACGAAATGCAATGCTGCCGGGGTCCGGTATTTCTAAGCCCAACAGTTGCTTTGAGAAGATATCATGTAAGGGTGAATAAGATCTTACAACCTCTTCACGATTTTGGTGTACAAATCTCCAAATTTAGAAACAACAATTCATAAAAATGGTTTATGTTAGTTGAATCCTTATTACTTGGATCTTTAATTAATGCATGAAATTCTTATCGCATTCTATTCACCTAGAGAACATATTTGCTATCCTATCTATTCTGGAAGTTCAGTGTCTTAATGCAGAAAGCGTACACAAATGCAAACAAAACACAGAAACCGATCAAAACTGCTGCCGCTGGTCCCATGAAGTCTGATTCGTATCCGAAGTGATCCCTGATATAATCTTTGATTTTTGGATCAGGAGACATTCCGGGGACTCTGATTGTATCCTCTACATCACCATATTGTGATAAGATTAGTCCGTAGAGTGTCCATGACACAGGGCAAATCCAGTAGTACCATATCCACCATTTGGGAATTTTCTGTCATTATAAACTAAGAATAAATCCACCATTTGTTGACGAAGCATTTTCGAAAGACAACTATAAGACCTTAGTGAAAATTAACTAGCTTACTGGTCTGGGGATGTAGAATCCAGCGAAGATATTGAAAATTCCGTAGAATGCTGCTGCAATTATTGATGCCACTTGGTGGTTTGGTGAGATGGAAACTGTCATCATTCCGTAATATGTGAAGTAGAGAAAAGAGAAGAAGGTCACAAAGTAGAACCAGAAAAATTTTGCTGCTGTCCATTCGAAGCCCACCATGGCATACACTATAAGTGAATAGTAGGAAGTTTGCAAAAATATGTATGGTATCTCTGCAATAACCTGTTTCAAATGAAAAAACTGTTCAGTAAATTGACAAGTTTTGTATAACAAGGTAGAGAGGACTGTATATTCTGTGAACTAGACTGATTTTTGTGGCAGAGCTTAATAAGCTTCATAACATTCTCTTCTTCAACTTGAGCATTAAACAAGTTGAAAGTAGCGTACACTTGGCTCAATAGTATAGGTAATGTAACTTGTTGGATAGAAGTTTGAAATGAAATGAGCCTCACTTGTGCCATGGCATATGGTATGGCTGAGTACATCCCAGCAGCTCTTTCCCGATAAACAACAGTTCTTTCGATGGCAACAACTGGTTGCACAGTCGAACAATTATTGATCCCAATAAAAAGTACAGCAATGAACATTGCCCCAATGATGGTCAGAAGATCAGCATTGCTCTCCCTGGTGTATGCAAAACATAAAGAGAAGGATTTAGTGCATAATTCTTTATCCTTAATTCTAATTATAGCTTGACTGCAAAAATTGGCTTTCCATTACTCCTTAGAAATAGACCTTTTACTTCCAACTCTCCAAAAAATTGTTCCAAGAATGAGTGCAGCAGCTAAACTGAAGACGATTCTGACAAGGTTATAATCGGGACTTCTCCAGTAAGTTATCTGTTGCTTCCACAGGCAGGATTTGAATTGACTCCACGTGGATTGACAATATTGTGTAGGGAAATAGAGGTCATTTGCACCTTGAGGTGGTACGCTCAACTCTTTCACTAGAGCCTTATTTTGTCTGTTTATAGTTATAACTTGTTAGGTGCTGTCCCGTAATTTCCAATCCTAATTCAGAATGGAATTTTTGTCCAGTTTACTTACGCATACAATACTGAGGATTTGTATATCTCAGCAAAATCAATTCCATGCCTAACTTCGGTGGCAACTGAGCTAACATTTAGCATCCATGTTGCTGGATTGTACTTCTCTGTAATCTTTTGCACTCCAGGAATTGCCTGCAGTGGTTGGATTAGTCTTTGTTTTTGTAATTCTGTAAACTCTTAATAAGAAAAGGTTTAGGAACATCAAGTACCTCAAAGTATTCTATCATTTTCTGGGAATGCCGTCCTATTGGTCCTGCATAAATCACTTCGCCTCCTCTTTTCATCAAAAGTAGCTATTGGATTAATTAGAATAAGAGACGTGAGAGAGACAGAAAGAGCAGGGAGCAGCAACATCATTTAAAGGAGGTACAAACATAAACTGGAGAAGAGGAAAACTTAGTCCTGGAGACACAATCTACCTCATCAAAAGCTTCAAAAATGTCTATGCTAGGCTGATGAATTGTGCATACAACTGTTCTCCCCGTGTCGACTGTATTTCTCACTGTCCTCATAACAATGGCTGCTGCTCTTGCATCAAGGCCAGAAGTGGGTTCATCCATAAATATGATGGAGGGATTGGCAACAAGCTCAACTGCTATAGTCAGTCTCTTTCGCTGCTCTGTAGACAAACCACTAACTCCTGGAAGCCCCACAATGGCATCTTTTAGGTTCTCTAGTTCAACCAGGCCCATCACTTCATCCACAAAAATCTGGGAAAAGCATAAAGCACACAGATGTCAAGTAAATATTTTCTAAAGCTACATTTGTGTAATTTCACTTATATTGATTGATAGCACTGCTTCTGACCATCTTTTCCTCCTTGCTGACTTCTCGGGGGAGCCGAAGGAAAGCCGAAAAAATCAGAGATTCACGGACAGTTAATTGAGGTGAGTGGATATCAGTTTGTTCACAGTAACCTGAAACTCTAGCAAATGTTTCTTGTATCTTTGGGAATCCAGATATTCTTATGTCGCCTTCGATGTAACCACCTGTTTTCCGTCCAGCTAAAACATCCATCAGGGTAGTCTTTCCTGCTCCGCTGACTCCCATTAGTGCAGTTAAAACACATGGCCGAAATACGCCAGTTACGCTACTAAGTAATTGGAGCTTCTCCTCTGTGACTCCTTGTTCTCTCATTTCCTGTTAAAGTGGAACAAGTTTGACGTTAACAAAGAGATTCAAAGCACTCGTTTCCAGTTAAGCGTAGAAACTTCTGTATTAAGTTGCATAGATTGGGTTTTAAAACTTACACGGGGCATGTCCACGAAATAATTCACGCTGTCAAAGGTCATGGTGAGTGGGGTGAATGGCAGAACCATTCCTCTCTTAGGAGCAAAACCACTTGTAGCCTCAAGACGTGTATCTTCCTTTCTACTGATTAAAGTGCTAGTGGAGTGCGTGCTCACTGGCTGGATTGCTATTTCTCCTAAAAGAATTGTACGCTGTATATAAGCATGGTGTTCCTTTCCATGTTTACTGTAATTTTTTTGTAATGAGCAGATAAGAATTGAGCTTGTGAGTAAACCTTTCTTTGACTTGTTCACTTTAAGTCTTGTTTCTTCCTTCAGATCTTCTTGATTATCTTCCATCTCCCTTGCCTGCTCTTTGGAAATTATAGCTTCCGGCTTTCCAAGAGCTATTGTGTTGAATAGACAACAAAAATCAAATTGCCACAGTGAAAGCAGATTCTAATTAAACTGAAAAGAGTTTGTTAGAATACTCACGGTTAAGGTACGTGAGGGCAAATGTGTAAAGGATGTTCAAAAGTACTATAAAGCCCAGTAGGGCTGCTGTACCAATCCAATACCAAGATCTTTGGGCGGAGACACCGAAGTTCTTCAGTATTTCCACTCCTAAACTTGTTTGATTATCAGAAGCCTGTAAGGAGATAAGCATAACCTGTTATGTCAATTATTTGTTTTGTTTTTCTGTGTGTAGTATGTTTTGTTTCAAAAGTGTGTTTTTTCTGTTGCTGGACCTTGCCTGGGATGAGAACTTAAAACTAGGGAGGATGATATTAGCAGGCATACCAATTTGTTCATCCACCTTGGAGCAAACATTTCATTGACGGTGATGGCATTGAAACCATACGTTAGAGGTGAAACCCAGTATCCCCAACCCCACCAATCAGGAATTTTATCTGTCACAAAGCAACACACACATGAAGTTTGATACATTTTGTGAACAATGTTACAGGATAACTAATATTGCTAGTCACTGTAGCTGTATCATGTATGTTTCATTGCATTATATATTCACTGTGCTGCAGAAAATGCATTTGCTGTAAGTAGGGATATATCACCCTTTAAATCCAATTTTATGTGAAAATTGGAAGTTTAATAGTTCATTTCTAAATTATTCTCACTATGTTGAAAGAAGCTAAAATCTAAAAGTACATGGGACACATGTAAATACTCTTTTAGTAATGCAAATTTTTTTTTATCTTTTAGTCTTTTCTTACTGTGTTCAAGGTGCACACCATCCTAAAGATGCATACTTTTGATATTCATGATTGTATTATTGCCCATTTTTAGGTTATCTACTAACCTTTAGGAAGAACAAAACCACTCAAGAGAGTGACAAAGAGAAGAGCTAGACTTCCTCCAGTATTTGCAATTGTCATTGTTCTACAGATTGCCGCAATAAACCTAAATAATCCGGCTGCCATCTGCTGGATCAGAAATACTAGCAATAGTTGCTTGAAGAACCTAGAAATGGAGAGGTACGATAGAAGGTAAATTTGGAGTATCAACTTTTTTTTTTTGGATTATAAACCTTCTACCCTGGATTCACTCTTTAAGAGTTTAAAGTTTACCTGCTGGCTTCAGGGGCTAATCCAGCGACGTTGTACGTTACAACCGTCCACACAAGAGACTCTAACGAGGATATTGGTAATGCCAGCAGGAAAGATGGTAAGGTAAAGGCCCACGGCGGATGGAAAAGAAGATCCCTTTGCTTGTAAAAGACCGGAAGTCGCTTCATGGTAAGTGCAAGTTCAGCAATACCATTAAACATATTGGCAACCAAGCTAAACCCCAATACTCCAACGTAAACTGCGCCATCGGCTTCATTTCTGGTGTGCATTTTAGTCCTTAGGAACACCGTTGATGCGATGAGTGATACAATGGTGTGTTGGAAAGTCTTGAAAATGTATAAAAAAGAGTTTCTCTTGATTAGCATCCACTCCTTGTCAAAATTTGCTTTTAGAAGCTCTTTTTTAGAGACCGAGTACTTTTTGAACACTAGAGCTGCTTTGTGACTCCGTGCCTTGTCGTAAGGGACTGAGAGCTCGTTCTCTAGAAGCTGACCAACATGGAGACGTTTGAACATATTTGCAAATTCGGCAACAGATATATATCTATATGGCTTGCTTCGGTCTGCCCAGTACTGCTCCTGGTCTTTTCTTGACGTAACCTTTTAGCAGCAAGGTGAAAGATTAATATCATGTTTGAGATGATAATTATGTGCCGTGCTATTACAAATCTAACTTGATTGTCGACTGATTTTAATATTTAAGCGAACTATGGCTATCATATATTGAAGGCTGGACGTGTAATTACCTCCTGCAGGAAATCAGCAGTTCCCTTTCTCTCTGGACACTTGAAACCACAGCTCTCAAAGAATTCAAGAACGTGCACTCTTGGACCCTGATATACAATTTGGCCTTCTGACAAAAGGATGATATCATCAAAGAGGTCATAAGTCTCGGGAGCAGGCTGCAGGAGGGACATTAGCACGGTAGCCTCTGTCGAGTGCACAATCTGTTGTACGCACTTGACTATTTGAAATGTTGTAGAGCTGTCAAGGCCTGTTGATATTTCATCCATAAACAGTGTCTTGGTTGGTCCAACAATCATTTCTCCTGTTTGACATAAGATCATGTCTTAAGGCCATTTCCATAGCTTAGGAAAATCTTAATAAGTAGCTCCTAAGTTCTAATCATGTCAAACGTCGAAACTAACACAGAGAGAAATGAAGCTGTTTACTGCTTAGTACCATGTCAAGTCATTAAACAAACGAGAAATCTGTACGAGTGGCGTTCATTATTTTGCCTTTACAACGTCCAAAAAACCATTTTCAAATCTTACGAATGATTTTTTTTTTCTCCTTAGTTCCAGGTATCAGAGAAACTTCCCTTCTTGCAAGAAAAAACCTAGGTTCCTATAATGACATTAACCATGTATTAATTTTTTTTTTTACCCTCACAAGAGCATGGACACTAGGTCTCAGATATTGAAGGAGTTATAGTTGCTTGTGTTTTTTTTTGTTTTGTTGGATATGCACAAGTTAGCATATACGTTTCACTATCTTTTTGCTGATGTACCTATGGCTAGTCTGTCATGCATGCATCCACAGAATATGAGAATTTAGGGTTAAAATTTGGTAGTTTGATATAACACATACATTGTCTAATTTAGAACCAAGGGGAGACATAGGATAAGCCTTGGAGCCCTTGTTGCTTTTAGTACTAGCTATAACCTTTTTCTTTTATTCTAAGCCCTAAAGCCTAAACCCATTTTTGTTTAAATATTAGGACAAAAAGAATACACAATTTAATTAGGATAAGGGAATAACCTGTTGTGACACGCTTTTTTTGACCCCCGGAGATCCCTCGCTGCATTTCATCCCCAATAATAGTATCTCGGCAAATATCTAGTCCCAATATCTGCATAAGGATTTTCACCAGAAAAATTAACAAAAAAATGTTAAATTCAGCGCAATTGCCACTTCTCATCAAAATGTTGTTTACTTGGGGAGTGTCATAATGATTCCTGACTAGGATTTTTGAGATATTCTACTCATTCTTTTTATTGCTTATTAATCTCGAAATTTGTTGACATCACTTGCGGTGTTCTAACGTTCGTTGAATTGAAGTGATCGCCGGTGGTCAATTCATACTCTGAGAGTGTAGTCGGTAATGAGACTGCTTTCGGCACCTTCCACAGCTGTTGCCTAAATATGGATATGAAAAAGGACAAGTCAAATAGTATCATGACAGGCGCTGATCGAGTTAATATGAAACAACACAGAGTGGCATCAAATTGGACGCTGCACAAAAATCTACCTTCAAGAAAAGATCAACTTCAGCCTCAGGGCGAATGCCAGCGTCCCTTTCCCTCCTTTCAAGCTCAGTCAAAAGTTCTATCCATATTCGTATATTATTATCAAACTTGTACAAGGGAATAATGGTGGGAGTTCAATATCTACAAGAATGAACAAATGACAATTGATTTTAGTACCGTATCGGGATCCAACCCCTTGGCATCTTGCAGAGAAATCGAGTGTTTCTTTCACTGTCATTTCTGCAATGTGGACATCATTTTGGCTAATGTATGCCGCTGTCTTTTGCGGCACAAATTCTTTCAGGTCATGGCCGTTGTAAGATATGTATCCTTTCACCTGTTCCAGGTTCGATCACTTGTATGATTTTTTCTGTTTCTGTCTGTGAAGGCGATCCACTTTTGTGATTAATAATTATTGAAATCATCCTTACCTTCAAACGAGGGTCTAATCTTCCTGCTAGAGCCAATAAGAGCGTTGTTTTCCCAGAAGATGGTGGTCCTAATAGAAGCGTCATCCTGTTATGCAGGTAATTCATGACAATCATAATTAGCAACATTGCATTAGTCAAGAAACGAATGTGTTTCTCTCTTTTTTTTATCAATTTTTCTTTTCTTTTTTAGAGCATAGATCATGCATACTTATGTAATCGGATCCAAGTAAGAATTCGTTAATATACCTAAATCATATTTAACCTATCCTCTCATATGAATACACGCACACTAACAATTATTTTTCTATCTTACACTTATACACTTTCCTTATTTGGCTTTACTTATCCAAAATATCAACATCAGAACATTGGAGCCTATGTAATTTTTTTTGTTTTGAGTGAAGTATAGGAAAAAAAATAAAAAAGATATTGATCTTTGTGCACAGTTGGGCATGGCAACAAAACATGGATAAAAAATATTTGTAGTACAGCGTAAGGTTTATGTCAGCACATATTTGTAAGTATTTGACAAGAAATTTGACCAATAGACTTGCCTGGAAGGTTTTATAATGCCGGAGACGTCTTTTAGTATATTGATTTTGGCTCTCTCGGCCAGTCGGAAGCCAAGACAACTGAAAGCCGACTCCGCAATATTTCTGGCGACATTTGGCAACGTGGGAAGAGCTCTGTCCCCGACGTAACATTCGGCTCCAACAGTTAACTGGTCGAACCTAACTTCCACCGTGGGAAGAATAATCCCAACTCTGCATTAATATGAGAAAATCATCAAGCCATCAATCTAATCTAGTGCTAATGGCCCGAAATTTACGTTTATGCGCGGAAAAACTAATGTTGAAACCCGAAAGAACACTACACTGGAGTTTGTAGTCCTGAATACTAATTTTAGATTTTAGTATGTCAAATAAATTTTATACTTTTTCTGTATACGTACTTTTGGAGGATGTGGTAGTAAATTAGTAGTTGAAAAGATAGATATATTTTACCTACCATAGAAGGGTACTATTTCTCATCACAAACTGTACATAGTGAATAGAGTGCTAAAAAAAAAATTAAAACACAAAATAAATAAACTATTTGAAGCTGAGGTTGATTTTGAGATCAACCGATGGGGTTTTTTTTTTTTTTTTTTTTCCCGAAACAATTTGTGATTTTATAGATATTCAAACCCTTTACAGTTTCAAGTAAAGATTTGAAAGAACTTTACAATCAGTGCATACTAGCACTGAGGAATCCAAAATTCCTCATCTTGAATAATATCTAACGCATAAACGCTAATCCTGTTACTAATATGGTTAAGATCCCTATTAACTAAACAAAAGAGCACATGCGAAACAAAGACGGTAGACTATGTATGTCCTCAACCGATGGGTTCATTGATAAAGAATACACATTTGTACCCTTGTGGAAGAAAAACACTTTTTTTTTTTTGGAATGACAAGCGATTCTTCATTTATTTATTCTTTTGCCGATCATCACTAATTGGCTTTTGTTCGTTTCTCCCTTTTTTTCAATCGTTTTGTTGCTCTAGCAAGTGTTTGAAATTTGGGACCTGCAAGGGAAATTTGACATATGCTTTTAAGGGGTTCAAATTCTCTTTGCGGATGATATAGAGGATCGTTATCAATTTTACTTCTCAAAAAAAATTTTTTTAAGAGAAATGGAGCGGAACACTGAAGAATACTTCATACTCATTCTAATATACGCAAGCTATAGAAGGAGGAGTACTAATCTTAATTGAGCATGCAACTGCCTACACTCTATATTCGATTGCGAGCTCTTTTCTTCTTTGTTTTGTTTACTTCAATGATCTCGTTAATGTTTTTTTAGTGAAATTAAAATGGAAATTAGGTGCACTGTTTTCTGTGAAATGATAAGAAAAGTAAGTGAATCTTCGTAAATTCAAAACTAATTAAACAAATCAATGAGTAAACCTTGAACTTCGTAATTCTTCTCACTTTTGTCATGCAACTTACTTTGTTGAGTCAAAGGGTAAAAGAACGAAGAGTCCGAAGTTAAGAGAGAGATAACTTCTACAGTGAAAAGCAAGGGGCCAGGCCCACACGATATAAAAACAAGGATAGTCAACAAAACTTAAAAAATTAAATAATAACAGTAATAATAATCTTATCTTACCATATAGTAATGCTTGAGGTAGTGTTACTATTTTTGTCATCTTTTGAATCACTATTTTTACCCTTATAATTTTATGTAAATTACAATTGTAGGTGACTAACAAGCAACCACATATGTATCCTTTTAATTGCATAAAATTCGCTAACAATTTGATTTTCTAAGTGTAAAACCAAATTCTATGTAACGAATGAATATGATTTTTATCATGCGTTAATCTTATATACACCGTCAATGTATATATTATCAGTTTATCATGATTGAATGTATTTCAAATTCAAATTAAAATTAGTTGCCATAATAATAATACATACATATATACACATAAAGTGTATAAAGATTAATTCTTTTATTATTTACATACACAGAATATGAACTTATATACACTAGTCCTGATGATGATGATGATGATAATAATACAACTTACCTGTCGAGCCGGTTTCTGAGCTTTTCCAAGAACTTGCCATTATCTTCCTCAGCAACTTTAAAGAGCCTGTCAATGAATTCTTGGCGTTGATTGGTGTCAAGCTTTCGGACATCAACTTCTTGGAGCACTGACTTCTTGCCCAGCTCGTCGTCATTCTCATTTTCGATGAAAGATTTCAAAACAGTCGTCCGCAGTCGATTATAAGTTGGTAACTTTTCTAAAGCAGCCCATTTTAGGGATTCCTCATCCTCCAAAGCATTACTACTGGTACGCATCCTGGCGCTTCCAAAAACATCCTCCGCCACGTTCCAACCTCGCCTGCTGCTCATTGTTCTTTTGCTGCTCCTGTTTACGCTTGCATTGCGACTCAGTCCCCTTCTTATTTCTCCCGCCGCACCTCGATCTTTCTCCTCCTCCATTTTCCTCCTTCCTGACTGATCAAACAACGATTAATGACGCTGAATTCTCTCCTCTCCGTTTCTTGACATATTAATGGAGGGTTCAATTTATTTCTGGAGCCTATGTGTATATATAGACATATATATATATATATATATTGGTTGGTGGCGTCCAATCTAGTTCTCGATCACCAACAAGTTTAATTTAGTGGAAAAAAAATGGTCAGTCAAACTCTTTATTTTCTTTGGGTTTTGGTAGAAGAGAAAGTTCCCTGTGCCCCCAGAACTGGGGTGGCTCGAGTGCAACTCCGTTCTTCTGGGAGAGATTGTGGTCATATATAAGCCAAGGAAATGGGTGGAAATGGCATCCTTCTAGAAGATTATGAAGTTTAGCATGAAGCATACCGCATACATACGATACAGTGTAATTTTCATCGTTGGCATTTTCTGAGGAATACATAGTAGGGCTTAAATTCTACAGTCCTAGGAGATTCTTCCAAAAAGAAGTAGACAAGTGGTGGTCTAACTGAAGGACAATAAGTCGGCACATTTAAAACCGGCTATCAATAATTGCTGTAAAAATGCTAGATAAACGAAGTCCAACTAAACGTTTGTTCGGGAGAAGGAAGTATCATCTGCTGTGGTGATCAAGAATATCAAATTTACTAAAAAGTAAAAATTGATTAGTGACTCAATTAGGGGAAGATTATGCATAGCCTGCAGAACATACCACTTCATACCTCTAGCATTTGAACTCCCCATTGTAATTGTTTAGAAGTCGGTGTTCTTAATCAACTCTCATTAATGTTTTTAGGTACTCGGCCAGTTGGCCTAGGCATTGCAGGCAATAGGATGAGTATTTGCGCCAACTACCTTAGCCATAGGTTTTCCAATTGGATATACTGATAAAAAAAAAAAAAAAGGGAAATGAGGTTACAAAGATTTCACTCAAATCTAAATTGTGCCCGTCCAATTATACGTGACATAATACATATAGTTGCATAAATTAGTGGTATAAGGTTTTTCTAGTTTGCTATAGATTTTCTCGACTATGAAAGATAATTATGAAGAAAAATTAAAATCAGTTCAAATTAGTTTGGGAACATTATAGATTTTTACTTTTTCAGCTATTAAAATATTTAATATATAAAGATAAAAGAAAACAAGAACACAAAAAAAAAATTATCCAAAATGGGATTAGAAAATCACAGGAGATTTGAACAGGTCCTACAACATGTCTTGTATACTTTTTCTTACAACGGAAAATGTTGTCTGATACTATTAATTTCAGATGTAACTAAAAGATGCCTCTCGTTCCCTGCTTTCCTTTGATTACTTGTTCATCAGATTGTTTGTCATTACTATTTTGATAAGTTGGTTGAAGGTTTCAACCAAGGTCGTCTTGTCATTTTTGTTTATCTACATCCTCATGTTCTTTTCCTAAGTAACCTTGTACTTGCGAGAAAACTATGCATGTAAATTACTGTAGTTAGAAAGGGAAATGATCCTAGGGATGGGTAGAGACAATGGTGACCATTTCAACAGAAATCATTTGAAACTCAAGCCACGCCTCATTCTTCTTTATTCCCTTGTCTATAGTGTTTGTGTAGCACTATGAACAGTAATCCAAGACATTGCGCGTAAATTCGTGTTTTAGCGATCGAGTTATATATATAGACAGCCAATGCGACAAACTATACATGCTTTCTGAAATTTTTATATCAGGCAACAGCCACTACCCTTCTGTCTTAGCCACAAAAACAAATGATATGAATCAGCAATTTTAAGAATTTTCTGGAAACTCAGATGAAGATTCAGTTGGTGCCATCTTCAGAAAAATAAAATGGTAGCATGTTTGGTTAACTAATTGAATGGTTAAGGATTAACGAATACAACTGATGTGGAAATCCCATACCGCGAGATGACAACCAACTTTCAAGAAACATTTAGTTACGTATTTTGAGGCAATTATTGAAGAAGTGACATATGGAACTCAGAGAACTGTGGAGGTGGAAACTGGAAGGCTCGTGATTGTAAATTTTTGTAAATTTGTAACAGCAAAAGTATAACAAAGTATCCAAGTGAGCTTTATATAGAGAGGTTCCGGTCACGTGTACGAGTAATCTGATGGCTGATCTGGGCTGGCTGGACGGCATGGCTAGTTAATTTGAGAAGTGAATTTGCTATATTTTCTGCAGCCTTGTTAAAATTACTTGATGAAAATGAAAGCTATTCTATGTTGTTTGGTGGTTCAGTTTTTTTGTTTTTGTTTTTGTTTTTGTTTTGATACAGTAAAGAGTACATGTAAAAGCGAAGAAAACCAAGTGATTATTTGTGCTAGTCTTTGATTCTTGGATCAAAGGGAATCCCGTCGACTTTAGTTTTCTGCCCTACATCGTCAATCACCATAGTGTGATGCGATTAGTCTAGATATAGACAATCCATGCCCCTTGACGAATCCAGAAGGTACCATACATATATCGACCTTACGAATCCTCTAAACTTATTAACATCAAGAAATCAAAATATATTTGACCTGAGTGAAAACTTTCTGATTTTGTGATAGGGAACCCTGAGAAAAGATTGAAAGGTGAATTAAAAGTTGCTACAAACACTGCTGGCCTTCTTGTAGGGTACAAATACGATGGCAACTGTCGTCATTCCAGAGCATACATACATATATATAAGGGCTCATTTTGATGTTGACCTTCACAGAATATCTTAATTATTGTGCTATCGTAATTTTTCTTCCAAAGTGAAGGTTTTGCCATTTGAAAGGACAACTCCGAAAGTCATCCCTCTACATTTACATCTAAGGTCCTGACTCTGCCACCGCTCGATCATCAGGGCTATTCATTACAGTATATGTTCTCATTGCACAAGTCAAGTTTTACAGTTGCAATTTATGCTATCTTCTTGTTGTGATGAAATGTTGATTACAAACTTGGTGACATTTTCCATGTATCCACTCTTCTTCTCCATTCAAAAGATGTTCTATTTAGTAAGAAGTACTTGACTGTGTGTGAATTGGTCATCTGACAGTCTTTTAAGTTTTGTATTTTCCAACATCTCCTCCAAAGAAGCTGGTAAATATTAGTACAAAAGTTCGGCCGTGTATTTGTCATGTTGTGTTACGAAAACAAGAAGCCTCAGAACTTTTGTCTTCATGATTGAGATCTATTCTACATTTTTTTCATTTCATGGTGCGCAGTTCTTTACTCGGTAGAGTCATAAATTTTACCCTACTCGATTATCACCAAAAAAAGTCGGATTGTACATTTTGTCTTCTTTTTCACTAGTTTCTTGGGTCGGGTAATTCGTGACTAATTCACTGTCCGGTATTCTACCATGCTTTAGGAAATATGCTATTGCCATTGGGGAATTACATTTTAAGGGGATGAGGTCCAGTTATGGTTGAATGCCAATATCTATAGTCTATACCATACGTTCAACAAAAGAATGTAGTGAGGTTGACACGTCTCGCTAATGGTGTGCTTACCACAGCCTAAGCCTGCTAGTCTAAACTATACGTTTTACAAAAGTAGATGGTAAAATTGACCCATCTCGCTAATGCTGTGCTTAGCACAGCCCAAGTCTGCTAGTCTATACTATACGTTGAACAAGAGAAGATAGTGAAATTGACCCGTCTCTCTCGCTAATGGTGTGCTTTTATTCCTCGGTGATCAAACTGTTGTACTTCCTAATTTGTAATACTTGCATTATATTTAGGTATTTCCAGTAGATTACAATAGCATATTTATTATTATTATTATTATTATTATTATTATTATTATATATATATATTCTTATACTATTTAAGAATGAGTTGTGATTAAAGGGGTGCCTAAATCTAAATCCAATGGGAACTTAGAATGAGTTGTGGTTATACTATATATAAATGGATAAATCTTATATACACTGAAAGTGTATACACTATCACCGTTTGATTCATAACATGTGTGTAAAAGATGAATTTTAAATTTAAATTTTACATAGTTGTCATTTATCCAATACTGCTGACAGTGTATACAGTGTAGGAAAGATTAATCCTATATATATTAGATGGATAGATGATTTACTCTTAACACATTAATTTTCGATCTAAGAACAGAAGAGGGGGGGTCAAACACAACAAAGAATAAGAGTGAATGGCGCTTTAACCTCAGTAAAACTTTGGAAAAGAAAAAACTAAGAGAGTCCTAGAGAGAAGTCTAAGCGGATACTGAAAACAAGGCCCAATCAACAAAGCTCCAATAGCCCAACTCAGATAGGCCTTAATGAGGTTTTGTGGACTTGCAACTTTGATTTAAACCAAGCGAGGCAGTGTTTCTTTGGACAGAGATGCTGATAATTTGAAACTGGCAAAAACAGGAAACATGACATATTTTTTCTGTCATCAAAAATCTAAATGAAAAAGGGAAAAATTTAAATAGAAATCCAGTCTGCAGTGTTTAGATGGTGTGCAAAAATAACAAGACCATGACAAGAATAATATCAGCCCAGATTACAAAAATTCATCCAATTAATTCAAATTTGTGCATCAAAGAGAGAAACCACAAATTCTGGATAACTGTTTATCTTCAACAATAGTTTAAACCTTAAACCGATTATAGAATGAGAGTTTGAGCAAGGTGGCCTAGACACCATCATCCACACACAGACGCAAAGTGAAGAAAAAAGGGGGGGGGGGGGATGTATAATCCTGTTCATGGGATTTGATTAGAGCAAAATCATAAGGTTACCTGCTTGAGAAAGTGATGTGCACAACAGAGAATTATCAAGCAGCCTGTAATCAACATACCCACCACCATATCCCCATCTCATGCGAAGCTGGCCAGCAAGCAAGCATCAAATGATAGTATTGGCAAATTTCATAATTATTATGAAGGTTGAGTAAAAAAGGGAGCAAGATCTGTAAAGCAAAGGCCATGCATACATCATGAAAAAAGCAAACAAAAGAAAAAGTGAAAAAAACATACTGATTCTTCCCCCATGTACCTGACCCTCCAAACATTCCCATC